AAGATGCCATTGTTGCGCCGGGCTTCGATGGAGAAGAAGATCGGAGATGGAGTCGGCCGACGATGTAGAGGTTCGTTTTTTTTGGACGAAGAGTTCGTCGCTTCAAACGGGCGGCAACAGAGCTTTGCTCGTGGGGCGAACGAGGCGCGAAATTGGCGAAGAACGACGGAGGGTTTGGCGTCGAGCTTTGCTCGTGTGGCGTCGGGCGAAGAACGACGGAGAGTTTTTTTTTTTTATGTGAAATTTCAGAAAATAAAAAGAAAGTGAATAATTTTATAACTTGTATTTATATGGGGAGTAAAATGGAACAAATATAAGGGGGTGGGGAGTGCAGTGGAAATAAATAATGATAGGGGACTGAACATGAATTTAAAAGAGGACTTAGGGATTTAAGAGGAATTTGCTGTTAAAACTTTATAATTTTATATAAGAAGGTAGAAAAATCTTAATAATATATGTTTGTTTATACTCTCACTCGTCATCACCATAAAATTTGTTAGTCTATATTATGATAATACTTTTATTTAACTAATGAAAAATACTTTTATTATATTCAGTTATAATCGATTAAATAATATAATTTTTATGCATATATATCTAAGGTGTATTCAACTGAGATTTCAAGTAATATTTTTAGACTTTTTAAGATTGGGTAAATTGCAGTTTTGATACTCAAAGTAAAAGTCATTTTGAAATCAGTATCCAAACTTTTATTCTGTTAGCAACATTAGTGCCCCTCCGTTAGATGTCTGTCAAATTCTCATTAGTTGTTAACGAAAGCGATCAAAATGAAGGGAAATTTGTCTTTTTTCTACGCCTGATGAAACCTATATATATATAAGGTACTTGTACCAATTTTTTTCAACAAAAAAGTGCAACCTCCATTGTTTATAAGAAAAAAAAATTGAAAAAAAAAATAAAAAAAAAAAAGAAAAAATTTCAAAAAATAAAATAAAAATTTGAAAAAAAATGAGAAGACATGGTTTGTCTTCTAGTTCAAGCAGTAGTTCTTGGTATAATAATTTTTCAGTCCAAAAATGTTCGTGTTATTGTGGTGAAGAGCTCCCATTGAAGATTTCTTGGACAAAAAACACTCCCGGAAGAAGATATTGGGCATGCCTAAAATATGGGGTAGATTTTTTGTTATCATATTTATAACAAAATTTATGATTGTATTTTTCTCTCTTGCAGACAAATGAATATTGTGGATTTTACAAGTGGATGAATCTAGAAATATGTGCTCGTTCCAAACAAATAATACCCGGGCTGCTTTCAAAATTGTACAAGCTTGAGGATGAGCTCAATGATTTCATAATAAAAGAAGGGAAACTGCAAACTGAATTGAGAAAAGCCAATAGCAAGAGAATGACTATGGAAAAACAACTAGATGCATTGAAAAATGAGAAGAAGAATTCAATTGTAAAACTATGAGTCTTTTTTCTAGCTGTAGAAGTTGTGTTCTACATACTGAATAGCAAAAATTAGCATATGCAACATGTGTAATCATCATTTTCCAAGTAATGAAATCATCATTTCCAATTCAAATGATCTAGTATCCCATTACAAATTTCTTAACAACTCAATCAACTCAATCAAAATTATAGAAAACAAAAGAACACATTATCTCATAAATCCATCTCCAAATCAATCACCATAAGAACACAATCCAAAGCCGTGTCCTTACAAATCCACAATCCATAAAATATCATCACCACAAACACAAATCCACAGTCAAGCATAATTTCAGAATCACTAAAGAATTCAATATCTCATTACAACACAATCAAACCAAATTAAATCCAAAGTCAAACAACTTAATTTCAGAATGAGCCAACACAATCCACAGTTATTTGTTTGTAGCCTTGTCCTTACCAGGAGCTGTCCTATTCCTTGGCCTCAAGGCAGCTCTGATGTTGGACGCTGTTATGTAATTCACACCTCCTTTCACCACAATTGGACAAGTGACTCCTTCAGATTGAATGACCTGCATTTGTAATATGTGATTAAAGAATCATTTACACAAATAACTCAAACTCCAATCCAACTGAACTCAAATTCACAACTTTATAAGAAAATATAAAGATAATAACACAATAATTCACATTGACAGTTTGTCCTTTTCAGTCCCATTTTCGTTTCCATCCAACACAGCTATTTTTCTCTTCCTTGTTGTTCTGCTCTTTTCCTGAGACTATAAAACATAGACAGAGTAAATATATGACAAGTTTACATTAAAACACAGAGTAATAAACATAGTAAATGAGGTACAGTTAAAAAAAATGATAAATTACCCTATTTTTGCTAGCCTATTTTTGCTAGCTTCAACATCATTGTTGTTGTTTGGAAGTGTTGGTGCAAGGGACTGACTTGTGAAAACATGGTCACTAGCCGGTGGAGGCTGAGATTCACCACTAAGACCTCCTCTTGTTCTTCATTTTGGTCAGCCTTCTTATGCTTTCTAGCATTGTGACCAAGTTTTCCACAAACTCTGCATGTCACACTCCTCTGGTTCTTTTCCAATCTTAGGGGATTATTAGGCAATGCACTTTGTGGCTCAGTTGGATTTCTCGTCCTTGCCTTCTTAGACCTTTCAACTCTCTTCACAATTGTATGAGGGACAGGTTGGGGAAGATCAACATTAGACCACAAATTAGGACCATTTATGCCCAATATTGGCATTTGATATGCCTTTCTATATGTTTCAACAGTGTACAACTGCTGAACATACCACCCTGGTTCCTATTTTCTACACCAAATGGCAGAAATAACATGCTTACATGAAAGTCCAACCAATTCCCACTTCCTACAAGAACAAGATCTTCCAAGAACATCAATAGTATGTTGTTCAAAAGGCCCTCTGATCTGAAAATTCTACTCATCACACCTCAGAGGGATGAGTTCTCTTGTCTTCTTCATGTTTTCATCCAAAATCATTTTATCCTAGGACAGATAACACCATCCCATTTTATGGCTTGCTCCCTGTTGGTATGCATCCTTGCCATCATGATGTTTCTCACTGTATCAAACAGCCCTATGATGTTTTTTTCCTTTAGCAGACAGAATAAGTGAACTAAAGCTCTCACACATGTTATGGGTCAAGATATTGCATTTAGGTGTTAAACCAAAATGAGATCTTGACCACTAATTTGGAGGTTACTTCACTCGTCAGTCATAAGCCTTAGGATCAACAGACTTTAACTTGTCCATTTTGGCTTTAAACTCTTCCACCCTGGTACATCTTGCAGCAACCCACAGTGCTTTCTTTATTGCCACACCTAAAAAACCATTCTTCTTCATGTTGCTGTGAAGGTGTTGAACACAAAATCTGTTTTCTGCCTCTGGGAACAAACTCTCAAAGCTGGTACTAGTCCCTTCTGTTATCACTCATGAAGGTCCACAACACAGCACCATTTATGCCAATATCATCCCCCAACAGAGATAAAAACCAAAGCCAAGAATCTTTGTTCTCAGCTTCTACAACTGCCCAAGCTATTGGAAACATATTGTTGGGATCAATCCGACAAGCAGTCAATAGCTGACCCCCATAACACCCCCTCAAAAAACACCCATCAACCCCAACCACCTTTCTACAAGCTTTAAAACCCTCCTTACAAGCTTTAAAAAACACATAAAACTTGTAGCGCCCCGTTCATTTATTAGAATTTTTTTGAATATTATATTATTATTTATTTGCTTATAATAGATTATATGCCCTTGCTTTATTTATTTGTCGATTATTTATATTAACTGCTCGTTTCCATCTGTCTTATTTATCTGCTTATTAATTGAATTGCTATGTGACTTTATATATGTGATTATTATGTGTTTATTTATTATTTATATGTATTAGAATTATTAGGATTTTGTAGTAGATTAATTGTTTAGTAATTCAATTCTATTGCGTAGAATTTATCTAACTTCCGAATTGGCCCATGATCGACCTATTTTTCCAGCTCTTTAAGTTATATTATATCCTACCTAATTTATTATATGTTGTTGGCCCATGTGAGTTGTAGAATTCAGGCCCATTCTCCTTGGTTTTGTTAGGCCTTTTTGAGTTAAATATGGCCCATTGGAATTTAAAACCCCGCAGCATTAGTTTTCTTTTTCTTCCCTCACGTGCGCAGACCGGGTCTCCTCTCCCCGTAATCAGTTCAAAGTTTTGTTGAGATTTCAACGTGATCTTCTTTATCTCACGTCTTCCTCTCTTCATAAGACTCGGACGAGGAGTTCTTTTTCCTCAGTTACATTCAAACCCATGTTCTCTGTTCTCTCTCACACAACAACCATTTATAAAGAAAAAAGAGAAAAATATTCTAGCCCTGCTCCTGATTTTCCGTTCAAAGCCATTGTTTCCGGCGGGTCGAGCAATCGCCGCCGTTTGGCCCATCCTCCTCGTCGTGGCGATTCCTTTCTGACCGTCTGTGCCGTTGTCGAGCATAGCAGCTCCGTCCGCCATATTTCCGGCGACCACCTTCTTCTCCGACGAGCCTCCTCCGAGCAGCCCGACCGTCGCCGACCCCTCAGCAGCCCAGTGCGTGAGCCGTTCTTCGAGTTTCAAGTCTGAGCTTTCGAGAAGTTTCAAGTTTCGTTCGTCTCGTCCATTTTCAACTGAATCGTAGATTCTCGAGAAAGGTATTCTTCGATCGAAACCTTCTCGTTAATTGTTATTCAGATGTGATATCGTTCGATTATCTCGTGTTTATCTTCATGCTCGTTGGCTCGTTGAATCATTTCTGTGGTTTTGGTTGGATTATATATACTCGGTTCGTTTTGTTCGTCGTATTGCGTTGTGGGTATTAATCGTGTGAATTGGAACTCTCGTTGCAAAATATCGAGCCTTTATTTGTTGTGGTTAAATCTGATATTTTTCGGAGTCTCGATATTATTTTTCCGGGTCGTCTTGTTCGTAGGTGTTTTGTTCGAGCTATATTTGGTCGTTTCATTTTCAAGTCCAAAACCAGATTTTATTTCATAAATGTTCAAGCTCTGAAGATTTTATATTTGAAAGTTTATTCGTTTCTCGAAACCCGGTTGCCGTTGGATATGTCGTCGTCAAGTTTGGTTGAATTTTTCCCAGCTCTGTTCGCTTGTTCGCATCCTCTGTTCCAGTTTCTGTTTAGAGTTTATTGGTTAAGTCGCAGGCCTTTTGTTTTAATTTCAGTAGCCCATGATTTCTTTTAATTCACAACCAGGCGTGTGGTGCAATGGTGTTCTATGCTCAATTTTGTGGGTGAGATCCTGTGTTCGAGCCCAGCCCTTAGTGTAGCCATTTTCTTTTCCGATATTTTTTCCCTCAGCCCAGATAGTGCTTTTTCTGGCCCATTTTCCCGTTCCCCGAAGCCCACGCGGCCCAACTGTATGGAGAAGAGGAAAGACGTGCGGGCCGTCCCTGCCCGCATCCAGCCCGCGCCCTTCACTCTCAACTGCAGCTCGATTCCAGCCCGCGAAGCCCGGCTTCAGCCCGCGTCGTCTCCAACCCTCTCAGACTTGGGCCAGGCCCTTCCTCGGCCCAATCTCCGCGCGGGCCAGGCCAATTTCAACGGCAGCCTTGTGTTTTATTCTCCCAACGCGACCCAATTGGCTTTTTAGCGCAATTTTATGTACCGGAAGCCCGTTTTTTGTACCGATATTATTTTTAAAAAATATTTTCAATTGAGCAAAATTTGGGAAAAAAATTTTAAGTCCCGAGACTCCAATTTCGTCCCCCGAGTCTTTTATTTTAAAATTTCGAGAGTTCCAAGTCCACGAAAAATCAAAACTTTTTAAGCTTTACTTTTGATTAAGTGTGGGTTTTAAATTATTTTTGAGTAGTGATATAGATTATTGATATATTATCTCTCTAAAATGTAGGTGTTTGAGGAGTCGAGACCTCAACCTACTACCTGCTGATTATTGTAATCTTGCCTGCTTCGACTGATCAGGTGGGTCTTGATAAACTTACCATGTATGTTAATTTCTATAAATGTTTGGCTTGATAATCTAGGTATGCATGTGAACGGGTAGTCTATGATGCCTAACTCTAGCCTTTAGAGAGCTTAGTCCGTGTGATGGTACATCTGCGGTTGATTCCGTCTTTTACGTAACGACAGCTCCCGTCTTTGTTGTGTGGACGGTTTGTTCCTATCTTTGTCAGGATTGATAGGGTAGAGGTGTGATCACATGAGCGTGGCTGTGTTTAGGGAGGGTAGACTAGTCGATTTGCTTACATACTGCGATTATGATTTTAAATATTATATTGATTATACTGCATGGTATTCCCACGGTGAGCTAGTTGTTTGCTCACTCCCACTATTAACGCTCTTTTTATGTTGAGCTAGTGGCCGTGGCGAAAGACGAGCGAGGCGGGGTCATTATTTGATATTGAACTGCTTTTTACCTGCTTCCGCTTATTGTTTATTGATTATTCCTTGATAGACTTGTTTTATTATCATGTGGAAACTGAACCATTGTTTTCTGGGATTTTTATCATGCTTGGAATTTATGGAACTTAAATAATATTTGGAATCGAATTTGATTGGATATTATTATTATTATGTTGATCCGGATTTGGATATTTCGCATGATTGAATAAATGTTGAAGCATGTGGATTGATGATATGAGATATTTGTTTCGAGATGGTTGTACCCCGTAGGTTAAGTGTTGAATTTACGGTTTAAATGTTATTAAGTGAGTAGCGCCCGTTAAATATATTTGTAAATTGATTTGCGAAAATTAACTCTGATTTTTTAAAATATTCATTAATTTTCTCTTAAAAATAACGGCGTTACAAAACCTCTGAAATTGATTGACCATCTATCTAAAAAACTGGACAGTTTGAGATATAATAAGTCAGGTGATCACTGGACAAAATGCGAAAACACAAGAGTTGAACTGGAAAAAGCACACACTTTAGAGGAGTTATATTGACAACGCTACCCGAGCATGCGAGTCGAAGACAAAGCAACTTTTGGACCTCCCAGAGCCTTAGCGCCGCTAAGGTTGACCAGGCTAGCGGCGCTACCTTTCTTACCAAGTCCTGGTTCGAGCAGCTAAGGCACCTTGGCGGTGCTAAGGTCTGTTTTACAACAGATGCGATTTTTATGGGTTTTGAATTGGAGATACTTTGAATATCGAACCTAGGGCATATGTTAGCGATTCCAAACTTTGTATTTCGTATCTTTCACTCAAAAAACTCACTTTTCACTTAGTTTTCATGGGAATTTGATCTTAGGTAGTGAAAACTCCAAGATAGAACTTGTGGATTTGGATTATTCGTGGTGTTTCGACATTGGATTCGTATTTAATTGTAAGATCTCTTTTTCATTTTATCTATGATGATGATGGCTTTGATTGATATGTATTTTGTTGTTAAATCTATGATGAGTAGCTAAAGTCGTTAGCTAGGGCTAGGGGATAATTGTTCCGGTTCAATTTCGTTTGTGTGTATGTTGGTTGCTCAATCTATTCGAGTTGTGCTGAACCTAGGTTTAGATGATTGATCAAGATCCTAATCTATTTAATCAATTTTAGAACCAAAAGGGGAGGAATCGATCGATCTTAGCTTGTTTAGAATAGACTTGTTCGGAAACGTATTGTTTATGTGTTAATTGATTCGATGATTGTTTGTTTATGTTTAATTCTCTTGTTACGTGAGTTATTGAGAATGAACCTCTTGATGAATCAGTGTTTCGAGTCC